GTGTCTACTGTTGATGAACAGGTTGCTTTGTTCAACTCTCTGTTAATTCAGCTTTACGACGTTCATGCTCCTGTTCATCCAGTGCGTGTAAAGCATCCTCCCTCTCCTTGGCTGACCGATGATATAAAAAAATCATCCACATTAAAAATTGTGCCAAAGCTAAATACAAGTCACTTCCTACCGATTTGAATAGAGAGAAGTATAGATTAGTACGGAATCGTTGCAATAATCTGTGTAGAAAAGCACAACGACGCCATATCCATGAATCAGTACAAGATCCTGACCCTGCTAGGAAATTTCTTAAGTCCTTAGGAATTGGGAAATTACGACAAAATCTCACACACCATAACTTTGATCTCAATCAACTTAATTTTCATTTCTCATCTTCGTCTTGCATTAACGATAAAGCAAAACATAATACTTTGGACTCTTTCAAAAGCTCCCACTCCGGACACCTCTGCTTTTAATTTTAGCCAATTTAACAGTTGTGATGTTAAGAGAGCTATAATGTCCATCCATTCAAATTCGATTGGTAGTGACTTGGAAATACGCATTTGTAGTTCCTCTTCCGAAAAAGACAAATCCCTGTAGTTTTTCTGATTATAGACCTATCTCTATTTTGCCTTTCTTTTCCAAAGTCCTAGAACGCCTTGTGCACAATCAATTAAGCACCTATCTTTTAAAGCACAATCTTTTAAATCCCTTGCAATCCGGTTTCCGTCCTGGCCATAGTACGACTACTGCACTTTTAGAAATCACTGATGATATTCGGTATGGTATGGAGAAACAAAAGCTTACCATTCTCACATTACTTGATTTTAGTAACGCATTTAATACTGTAGATTTTGATATCTTTTTAAGCATCCTACGCTCTCTCAACATATCTCCAACTGTAGTTGACTGGTTTCGAAGTTACTTGTTTGGTCGCCGACAGCGAATTCAGGTGCAAGAGGTTTTTTCCACCTGGACTACTACAGCTGCTGGTGTACCACAAGGTGGCGAGTTGTCTCATCTCCTTTTTGCAATTTTCATTAACTTTATAAGTCATAATTTGTTCTCTTCCTATCACTTGTATGCTGATGATCTCCAAATCTATACTCAGTCCTCTCTTGAAGATTTATCTAAAGCAGTTGACACTATTAACGCTGATCTGATTTGTATTTCGAATTGGAGTAAATGTTATGATTTAACGATTAATCCTAAGAAAACAAACTCAGGCCATTGTCATCGATAGTTCAAGATTATTTGGTAAAATTGACTGGTCTTCCCTACCCCCTATTATACTTGACTGCACTCTAATCCCTTACAGTAACAAGGTTAAAAACCTGGGGTTGTATCTTGACTCCTGTATGTCTTGGACCTCACAGGTTAATGAGGACAGTAGAAAAATGTTTGCTGCGTTAAGCTCTTTACGTAGATTACGTAATTTTCTTCCCACAGCAACTAAAGTTACACTCGCTCAGTCTCTACTTCTGCCTATTCTTGACTATGCTGGTATTTGCTATCTTGACATTACCGAGGAGCAGCTTAATAAGCTTCAAAATTTATGCATTAGATTTATATTTGGGCTTCGCAAATATGATCATATCTCCGAATTTCGCAAACAGTTAATATTCCTTCGCAGGAATACTCACATTCTCTCCGCGTTGTATAGTGTGCTGTTTAATCCTTCTACTCCTCTTTATTTAGAAAACCGTTTCCAGTATCTTTCCTTACCCATAATCGGTTCCTTCGATCCTCCGTCAATCTTTCTCTCTCTACACCTTTGCACTCTTCTTCCTTTTTTAAGAAATCCTTCACCGTAACCGCTGTGCGATTGTGGAACTCCTTACCTCTCCATATTCGTCGTGATAAATCTCTTCACTCTTTCAAAATTCTTGTTAAATCGTATTATTTAGAACGAAATAAATTACTTTACCTTTCTCGTACTCTTTTCATTTAATCTGTTATATGATATTTTATATATAACTTTCACTTATTTTTATTTGTATGTATTATTGTATTTTTTTATTATTATTATTATTTTGTATGCCCCCCTCTATTTGTAACCTTTGTTTATAACATTCCTCTACGCAAAGGTTGTCTGGTAGAAATCACTTTCAGCGATAAGACCGCCTATTGTACATACTTTAATAAGCTTTAACTATATTGATGTTTCTGTATTGTGGTATACTAAAAAGAATAAGTAAATAAATAAATAAATAACTCTACGTACAGTTTTTTCACACCACAAGCTCGACAATAATGTGGGACGCTTAAGATAACTCGAAACAGGCACAAAAAAGGCACATTTTATACCTCAATACCGACAACGCCTGAGGCACAATGGGCTTTAAATCTTAACTTATTCTACATTTTGGTCTTTGTTCTTATTATAAACCGTTTCAAATGTTACAACTATTTAGTAGAAATGAACGAGTTGTAACAACAAACACTTGAAAAAGTGACCCTAAAAAATGCTCTCAAACTTTTGCATTTCTAACGAACAAATTTTAATTTATTTACATGTGAATGTATATTCCTAAATTTAATAACATTTCCTAAGCTAAAAACAAAACAAAGAAGGAATCATTTATACAAAATTATGTTAGAAATCAACAACTAAAAGTTACACAATCACTACAAAAAGTACCAAGTATGACGTAGTACCCAGCGATGCTAGTATGGATACGCTCTGTGGTGTTGATTATTAATTTAGGTATTATTAATTTTAATTAACATTAGAATGTTATTATAAAAATGTTTTGACAATTCTTTTTTGCTAAAATAAAGGATTTTTATTTTTTTTTATAATGAAGATTTTTTAATTTTACTTAATTTGAAGTGGCCCTAGCCTAGTGGTAGCTTACGTGCGACATCCATAACAAAGGTGAAGCAATGCACGCGTTAGCTTGCAACTGGATGGATGATCCTACTTTGAGGCTATTTCAACTACGCAACGAGCTAAGGCTTATTGCTTAGCAATAAAAAGTACTACGTACAAAAAGCAATCTCTTCCAGATAACCTTGGGCTAAGAGTGAAAACAATAATCATAAAATCGAAATTACAGTTAGATGGCCACACAATAGCAATCTCTTTTAAACAACCTTAGACAAATAGTAAATTTGCTTATTTTGACAGATTTTCAAATTTAAAATAAAAATAAAAAACCATTGCTGAAATATTTGAACATGAAATTCGAAAAAATACGTACATGTACAAAAATGCAGGTCAAATTACAAATAAAGTACAATTAGGCGGTTTTATTGCTTAGTTAAAATATTAAAGTACTAGGACCAAAACACAAAGCAAATTACAGAGAAGAAAATTTGGTAGGTAAAAGTTAGGCGTCCTTACTGTATAGTAAAGAACGAGGATACGATAAAATATTACTTAGGGGTTGTTGATGAATGTTGATGATGATAAAGATAATAATGATGATGGCAAATAAATATAATATTTTATGAATGAAGTTGAAGGAAGCAAGGTTCTTTACATACAGATGTGTTGCAACCCACACAGAACGTGTGTACCCTTTTTTTATATTTAACACACTGCCGGTGCATTCATTGCGTAGCAACGCTTGGGTGCTCGGAGATGCGGCAGGTTACATCGACTCGCACGTTCTGTGTGGGAGTGGCAAGGGGAAGCGGAGGTTTATTTTTAATAGCGTGTTTGGATAGAAGAGCTTTTACTGAGGAAACACGGAAAGAGCGGTATGTAAGAGGAGGAGAAGCGAGAGAAGTAGCAGATTTTTTATGAATTATAAATTCATTCAATACAGATACATTCAACAGCCTCCTAAATAATTTCTTGTACCAGATGCTCGTTCTCTTTCGCTCTATTGGGTACATCACCAGCATCTGGTCTTTTCTGTCCACCCCACCCATCATGATATTGTAGTCCAAAATCAGGATGGGTTTGATGAGCGACTGTCACTAGAGACGGCGTTTCCATGGTATGGTGATATCACAGCAACCCGGTTGCTATCTCTCCATACCATGACATCGACATCTCCGGCGGTAAGATCAGTAAGCAGGCCTGACCGCATGTTGAGTCAGACTTTATTCAGACTGTTAAGGGCCTGCGGAACAAACTTATGGTTGGTCCGCAGGGTGCCCACATAATGAAAGCCTAACGATTTCATGCATCGCGCCAAAGAAGGCGAATTATAAAAATTGTATATCCACACCGTATGACCCTTGTTCTCAAGACCATGGCAAAGTCTTAAGACAGTGGCAGGTGTGAACGCGGATAATATGTCTTCTGACTGCTGCGGTGGAGACTTCTTATGAGCGTGAATTTCAAACCACCATAAATAGCCGGTTCAAGATTCACAGACCTCATAAGTCTTAATCCCCATCATAGCAGCTTTGTTGGGAACTAATTGGTTAATGTCTACCCAACCTTTCCACATCAGAAGAGATTCATCTAAAAATATATTTGATCCAAATTGTACATACTTCTGAATTTCATATTCAAATATGTCAGCAATGGTTTAATTTTGAATAACTTGGCTTCTGAGTATTCCAGCTCTACAGCACACATGCTTACACTTCAACGATAATGACGACATATCATTATCGTTGAAGTGTAAGCATTTTGATAACAATATGAAACGATTGTATGACATGTGTGCTGTAAAGCCAGGTGTAATAAATACGTCGTGAGTGGCTCACCAATATTCTTCCAACCTGGACTTAATAACAACCCCCATCGCAATAATCATGCCGAAAAAGACATATGATTCGTCGACACAGGTGTCGTGCCAACGATTAATGCGTCTATTGGGATGGAGTTTGTTATTCTCCATTAATTGGTGTGCCAACTGCTGAGCATATTTATTAGTCTCCGAGACAATATGCTCCATAATTTGTCGATCTCTTATGGTAATGAAAATATCATATGGATCGACACATGGAGTTGCCAGACCAACATTATTTTGCAAGAAGCGTTCTCGTCTCGATTCAGGAAGAATCAGAACGGTAGGGAACGCTTCCCACTTAAAATCATAAAAGCTCTACGGCTGGTCCGTCGCCATTGGAGCGGGCACACGTGCTTCGGGCTCAGCGGCGGACTCCGAGATCGATTGCGTGATAGGCTCAGCAGTCAGCTCTTCCACTTCATACATAGGTGTCTCTAGAAGACTGCGAATTGTGCAGGGCAGAAATGGTACGGCCATTTCCTCGTTCTTGCTCTCCTCGGAGCTTGGTTCTCTACCTATAAAAAATTGAAGATAGCTGTAGTCGACATCTACGAGACGAAACGTTACTCTTAGCCTGACCTATAATTTAGGGTTGCTTACCACAATTGATGGCCAATATGATATCGTCATCTTCCAAGATCCGACGGGTGCGAGGAAGAGGGCGACGCACTACCGTATACACCTCCTGCTGAGGTGGCAGGTGTTTTCACTTCTTGAGCTGAGCCTTCACGTTCAAGAAATCTACAATAAAAGCTTTTTTAAGAATATGTTTTCACAATCTAAAAACAAAGACTGTGAGTTCCTTTTGAAACAAATAGAAAAATAATAAGTAACTTACACAGCTGGTGAAGGCACCACGTACGATATAGCGGGAGACGGTGTCAGGGCTGGGCGTAGCACTATACCCAGGACTGAGGCAGCCTGGTCAGCCCTGTATTAATATTATAAATTAAAAATTAAAACTTGCTAGTAATAAAATTATAATAGTAACATACTTAAGTACGAAAACCTACAGCGATGAACGTGCCGCTGAGCTTGACGAGGCAATCAGAGATATGGGGCGCGGCACTACCACTGAGGCTGAGACACCCTGGTCAGCTCTGTATTCATATTTTAAATTAAAAATTAAAACTTGCTAGTACTAAAACCATAATAGCAACATACTTAAGTACGAAAACTTACAGCGGTGACGGTGCCGCCGAGCTTGACGAGGCAATCAAAGATAGTGGTCGTGGCACTACTGCCGAGGCTGAGACACCTTGGTCAGCCCTGTAATATTTTAAATTAAAACTAGCTAGTACTAAAACCATAATAGCAACATAATTAAGTACAAAAACTTACAGCGGTGACGGTGCCGCCGAGCTTGACGAGGCAATCAATAATAGGGGGCGTGCCACTACCACCGAGGCTGAGACACCCTGGTGAGCCCTGTATTAACATTTTAAATTAATAATTAAAACTTGCTAGTACTAAAACCATAATAGCAACATATGTACTTAAATACGAAAACTTACGTTTACGACACGCGCCTACGCTTTGGATGCAGTGGGGTCTCGAGGGCCTGCCCCATGAGCATTTCATCGATAAAATTTATTGTTAATCTAAAAATGTCAAACCCAACATTAGTTAGAAAAAGACAATAAACATAAGAAAAAAAAGTAAAAAAGCAAGCTAACTCGTTAATTGTTCTCGGCCCCGGGCGACAGTTGTCTGCTATACGGTGCCCTCAAGGTCTTCCACCACGGCCTCCGCGACCGCGCGCTACCACCACCTCAGGTTCAGCCATCATTTCCTCCAGCAAACCTACTGCCGCCGCCGACATTCTCCCACCGCCGACTCGCACACCTCTACCACGTCGAGGACCGCGTGTCTTCGGCCATCTTGTTTCACTTTTAAATCAAGTACAAAAAATATAATGACATGCACACACAAAAAGAAAAACAATTTACTGACAAAAAATAAAACAAATCAAATAAGAAAACAAATAAAAATCCATACCAAAAATTATCGTAAAAAAATACCAACACTGGCATTCCCAAAATCGTATCCATACAGTACAACCTGCTCTCTAAGATGGCGGATTTCGTGTGAATAACTTTACGACCCATCTGTCTGCGACCGCCAGTTGGACGCGAGATTTAAGCATTTTGTTATTTTTAGTTTTATGAAATATTTAATCGAAACTATACAAATGTAATTATTGTTATGTTTGTAGATAAGTATGTTAACGATTTTAAAACAATGTTTACCATTCACATTTGTACTTTTAATTTAAAACAATTGAAATTAATACGAACATGGTATCAACATGGCGGTCGAAATGGCAAGCAATGTTTGATAAAATGGAACAATTTATGTACAAATCGTCATCTAATAATACTTTGCACGTAAACACACGACGCCGCGTCACAGAACGAGCAACTGAATGGACTAAATGTATTACTATTTCACAGCTTCAATGGTTCGTTTATGACGCGTGTGTGACATTATTTGCCTTTTTTGTTTAATTCTCTACATGTTGTACCAGTTACAGGAATATATTTAATAATTTTTGATTTGTTGACATTGATTTTAATGAATATATTTGACCCTTTTGAAATTAATGTTACCTGAAATGTAAGCAAAACATATGAACTTATTTTACTATAACACCATGTCTTAAGCAAACAAAGAAATTATTATTATTCTTTTTTTGTTTAGTATTCTCTCGTTCCCGAGGTATTATACCTTTTTCGCGGGATGTTAGCCAAACGAAATCGGTTAAGTGTTTAATCTTTAGACAGGAACTAACGAACTATTCTGCAAGTATTCAATATTGTGGACTTCTGTAGTGATATAAAGATAAGTTTATGGATATCTAGCTCCTTTAAGCTGGAAAAGAGTGAATGGGTAATGACGCCAGTTGCTGATAATATAAAAGGTATATAAGTTTTTACAGTTTTTACTTTCCACTGGGATTTTATTTCGATGGATAAATCAATGTATTTGGCTATTTTTTCATTGTAGGTAGAGCTCAAATTGTGAGTGTTTGGTATAGCAATATCTATAAGATAAAAAGATTCGTTTCTTTTGTCATGTAGCGTAATATCCGGTCCATTATAATGCACGGTCTTATCAGTTAATATAGTTCTGTCCCAGTAGAGTTTGAATTCACGAGAGTCAATTATGATTTCTGGTTTGTATTTATAATATGCTATTTTTTCATCTATAAGTTTATATTTATATGCGAAATACTGGTGAATGATGGCAGCAACTTGGTCGTGTCTATGTTTATAGTCGGTCAGTGTTATTGAGCTGCAGGCACCAGTGATATGCTGAATGGTTTCTGAACTATTATGACAATGTCTGCAAACGTCTGATTATAGAGTGTGGTCTTTAATTATATATTTCCTGTAGTTAAGTGTGTGTATAGTTTGGTCCTGAAATGCTAACATAAAGCCTTCCGTTTCAGGGAAGAGTTCTCGGCATCTGAGCCACATGTTAGACGCTGTCTTGTCAACGTTTGCGTTCATCAAGTCGCTGCGATGTCTTCCATGTAACGTCTTCTGCAACCAGCTGTTAATTTTATCCTGTGTAGAGACAATACTTTCGTTTTTCTGTTTTCTTTGATCTTTGAGGTTGAAAGGAGTAAGTAAGTATCGGCTTGAACAACAACATTATGAAGCGAACTATTATTGGCTTGTTGAAGAAAGAAGTTTCGAATAGCTGAAATTTGAGAGTTATGAAGATTTTTATATCAATTTATTATTATGGGGAAATATATATATATATATATATATATATATATATAGTTTTCTCATCTGGTTGGGTTCTATAAATATATAATTATAAATTAAAATGAAAAGATAAATATACATAAATATCAATAAAATAAAATAAATACAAAAAATACATAAATAAATAAAGATCCAACCAGATAGAAGCCCTCAGCAGAGGCGATCAGCCGGCTGAGGTTTAGGAGGAAAGGGAAAGAAACCGGCGGACGATGCGGGTGGTATCGAGGAGTACTGCCTTCTGCATTTGAGCCCGGAGCGGTCCGTCACGGAGTCCCAGTCGCCTCACATGACCCGAGAGGCTGACTGGGATTAGCCCATTCGCAGAGACTACTACAGGAATAATTTCGGCCGGCAGACCACCCCAAATGTTAGTCACCTCGTGAGCCAGGTCTAGATATTTTGTTCGCTTATCTGTTTCGGCTTTCACGAGGTTCTCGTCATACGGAATTGTAATGTCGATCAAAAATATCCTTGACTGTGCCCGGTCCACCAGCACAATATCAGGCTTATTCGCAAGAATAGTCCTGTCTGTGATGATGGCCCGGTCCCAGTAGAGCCTGGCGGGTTCATTTTCGAGCACGGCTTCCGGCAATTACTTGTAATACGGCAATTTCCGGTCCACGAGACCGTATTTCAGAGCGAGCTCCTGGTGTAGAATTCTGGCTACCAGGTTGTCTCTGTGCAAGTACTCAGAGTTAGAAAGCGCCGAACAACCAGAGATGACATGCATAAGCGACTCACCGGGATAGCGACAAGCTCGACAGACGTCGACGGTGCCATCCTTTAGGATGTATCTCCGATAGTTGTTGGTCTTAATAACCTGATCCTGTATTGCACAGACAAAACCCTCGGTTTCCCAGAAGAGGTCACCGAAACGTATCCAGTTGAGGGAGGCGACTGTATCTACGAAGGGCTCATGTAGAGCCCTGTAGTACCTCCTGTGGAGCTCCTTCTCCTTCCATACGGCCTCCCGGTCGGGAATGCTAAGCACTGCTGGGTCCTGCCATTGCTCGTTGGCTAAGGATAGAAGGGGTAAGCCCTTTATCACTAGAAATGACGTTATTATACAATGGATCATCCGATCTCGCCAGGAAGTAATGATGGAGGCTGCACACTTCGCGATTATGCATGGTGAGCGCGCTCAGAAAGCCAAGCCCACCATGCTTTATACTCGTCGCGTGCGCAGTCAGAAGTAGACGTGTCGTGTGTTGTTCTAGCTAATTATAAAATTTTAAAATTTAATTTTAACGAAATATATATTTGAAATCTAATCTAGCTATAAAAGTTTCTTGATACTTAATTCCTATTATAACCGCGTAATACAACGTTGCGACGCGACGTGCTACAGTGCTGCTCTTCGCCACACCCCCTCGAGTAAAGGAGATAACCAGCGATTTTTTTTCCTGCGCACACGCATATTTTTACATACACAGTGCTAATACTCGTTGACCATCTTAACTTGAGCGTGAAGCGGTCACCGCCCGGTTCTAGAACGGGCTCACCTTTAGTAGTGAATCTAAGAGCGGCTCAAACACCGATCTACATGCTAACGATTATCATAAAATAACACATAGATGCAGATTTTGTATCGTCTTCTCAGCTGAATTTAAAACTGAAATAATGGAATTCTTCAATAATTTTGGGAACTGACAGAAGAAAGAATTTAAAACTTTGAAAGATGAAGTATCACAATTTAAAGGAGTAAAAGACGACGTCACGATTATAAGGGAACAGCTGGAATCTATAAAAATCTGTACTGTGAAAATCACTCGCGAGCGTAGTGAAATGATGAATGATATTTCTATAATATAAAAAATTAAATAAAAAACTCATAAAATTATCATTCAGCTGAACAAACCACTCTGACAACACGTATTGATGATGTGGTATCGGAGATCAAAAAGGTTGATCTGTTGCAGCAAAATATATCGGAATTACAAGAAAAATATGAATCTTTGCGAAATGAATATAACTTCATGCAGCAACGTGATCGCGCTATGAATATTGAGATCTCTCAGATCCCCGAAAAAAATAATGAAAATGTTTTCGATTACGTTATTGCAATAGGCAAATACACGGAAATAGTTATATCTGCAGAGGACTTAATTTATTTCCATTGTGTTAATCACGTGACAGCGACAATAAATCACCAAAAATATTGTGGTTCAACTAAAATCAATCCTCTTGAGAGACAGCATCATCTCCGCTGTACGTAAGAAGAAGGGTTTAACTACAATGGACATTGGAATCCCGGGAGAGTCGCGAAATATCGAGCGACCTTACATCATACTAATTATGGCAAGAATTGTGTTCTCACCAGAATGGTTAGAATTTTTAATAGTAAATTTTCTCATAATGACCCATTTATCCATTCAAAAAAATTATTTAGGCTAAAGGTAGTACAGGCTTTGACAGGAGTAGACAATGAACCCTTATTGCTTATGTTGGTAGCCTCTGTAGTTTTGTAAATCCGTAATAACATCTCAATGTATGTGTCTTCAACTATATGTATAAGTGTTCAATTATAATATGGTTATATGTATATGTGTATATGTGTGATATGTTAATATTATCCCATTGAAGCATAAATAATTTTCTAGGTCAGCCATGACAAATATTTTAAATTAAGAATTGTTTTTGATTAAAGGTATTTGTAATTTTTTTTCATCTTTCATATTTTTGATTTGTGCTAAATTGTGAAAAGTGGATGACTATTATTGGCCCTATGTAAAACACGGTTGCGTTTTACCACTTTGCCAATGACCGCGTCAATGAGGAGTGGTTCCTTGGTTCCACGACCACCGCCCCGACATCCATTTTGAGCGCGTGACATCACCTGATTTAGCTCCAGGTGACGAGTGATTCTCGCGCTCAGAATGGATGTCAGTGTCTTATATATGGTGGGTAGACACGTGATAGGGCGATATTTGCTCGGGTCTGTGGTTTCCTGATCTTTAGGAACCAAGTGAGTGATCCCAGTAGTGGAACGACTTCTGATCGAGAGCCTCTTGAAACTGTCGGGCGAGCACAGCGTGACACACCATGAACGCCATCAGCCAGTAGTGATACAGCCCGTCAAGCCCTGGACTTTTCCAGTTCGGAACCCTACGGACCGCCTCAGCTACGTCATCCGGCGTTATGATGACGGGGTCCTTGGGCGTAATACCCGCACACCGACTCGCCACAACTTCCGTCCAAGGGCACTTGCTCTGGTTTACAGGCTCTGACCACAGGCCACGCCAAAATGCAACAGTGTTAACCTGATCTGGTCCTGGGTCTGCTCCACATACCTCTGGTCGCTCCAAAGATTTATAGAGCCTCTTCTGATCACTCTGGAAAAGACGATTCAAGTTGAACCGCATTGACCTCTCGGTAAATCGTCGAATCCGCTTCTTCCAAGCAGCTATCTTTTGCTTCAGGTCGTCTATACGCTCCGTTAGTTTCTGCGTGATATCCGGCTGGGACAAACTGATATTTGTCCCAGAAACCGCCATTCTAACGGTGCGCACAACCCTCGGTCTATTATTACCCGCTTGTCAGTCTGCCAATAAGGGCCCTTGCCTTTGCGATACGGTCCTCAATTTTTTTTCTCCAGGCTGGGATGGCGCTACTTTGTTTAGTAGCGCGTCCAGCCATGGGAAGTTTGACGCCAATAATACGGCAAGCCAAAAAAAAAACTGAGTCCGTCTCACAAAGGTCCAGGCTGGCTCCCAAATAGGTTACCAGCATTAGGTTAAGAGCCCTCACGACAGCCCGATTTCGCTTGCTTAGGGGTATGCGGGGAAGTCGCGGTCGATTTTCGAGAGGCATGCTGCGTGTTTCCAAAATCGCCTCTTCCAATATACTCCTCATTTGCTCTAGTTCGTTGGAGACCATTTCATCATCGTCCGAATCAACCACAACTGGAAGATCCATGGCGGCTTCCACGCGTGGATGCTGGTCTATCGCCTGAGGAGCCGCATCCCCAGCCATAGCCAATTCATTCGATGAGGAAATGACCTCACATTGTAGTCGTTCGAGCTCGGCATCATCAAATATTTTCGAGCGCATGATGTACTGAACTCGGTCTGCCAGGTTTTGTTCTGTAACGGGAATAGACGGCTCCAGCTCAGTAAAAAATCAATGCATCTGAGCCCGATAAGCTATCCCTGCAGTTTCTTCCCCTTTCGCCGTATAGTACGCCCGCAATCCGTTTGCGTTCATATCCCTTGTCCAATACATGCGGCGCACTCCACCAGCGACGGATGCCGCTTGCCGAGTCCGAGAGGACCTTGCCGACATCAAGCCGTCTGGTGGGGATGATGGATGCGGGGGGCTGCTAGGTGATCTTGTAGCTCCTCGCGCTCGGCTGGCGGCCCGCATGTTGCCCAGGCAGCGGCCCTATACGCTTTCTATTACAATCCATCATCCATTTTTGGGCGCCAATTTACGGAAGACGCCCAGGCCCAGCAACGTTTCATTGTATCATTGTACGGCCGTAAGCACAAACGGGCCTTTGCACTCTGAGTACTGCCGAGGCACGGCGCTCACACCTCTTGGCAAGGCACTGACTGCACCAACGTAGCAGTTTTGTCACTTAATTGTTTCGTCAGCGGGCGATGGGGTCGTCACTTCCCTACGCCGTTTATAATATTATGGGGGTATCAATATAGTTTTCTCATCTGGTTGGGTTCCATAAAATATAATTTTAAGTTAAAATGAAAAGATAAATATACATAAATATCAATAAAATAAAATAAATACAAAAAATACATAAATAAATAAGATCCAACGAGATGGAAGCCCTCGGCATGGGAGACCAAACGGCCGAGGTTTAGGAGGAAAGGGAAAGAAACCGCCGGACGATGCGGGTGGTATCGAGAAGCACCGCCTTCTGCATTTGAGCCCGGACCGGTCCGTCACGGAGTCCCAGTCGCCTCAGATGACCCGGGAGGCTAACTGGGATTAGCCCATTCGCAAAGACTACTACAGGAATAATTTCGGCCGGCAGAACACCCCACATGTAGGTCACCTCGTGAGCCAGGTCCAGATATTTTGTTCGTTTATCCAAATTCCAATCTGATTACAATGTTGTTATCGTCAAGGCAGGGGTGAATAGCCTTCTATTAATTTAAGCCAGTGGAATTTACTACCTTCGGCCACATCGCTACTAAAGTAAAGAGAATGGCCCCACCACACATTTTAGTGACACTTTATAAAATGCATTTCATTTTATTCCTTATATATATATTATATATATATATTATTTATATATTTTATACGTGGTAGAGCCATGCTGCAGTTATATTAGTAGTATAGTTGTAGCACGAATGGGTCGGCTCGACCGGGGAAGGACCACGTTCTCACAGAATACCAGCGTGAAATAGTAGCTTAATGCTGCTGTATTTCGTATGGTGAGTGTAGAGAACCGGAGACCCTTTTTTACTGGAAACGAGGCATTCCATCTCAGTCCTCACGGGTGACAACGCATCTGCATTTTGATTTTTAATGGAGGATAGATGTAGATGTCTATGGGCCGCAGCAACCACTTAGCATCAGGTGGACTGTGTGCTCGTTTGTCACCCTATTCTATAAAAAAAAATAACTTATGGATTACAATAGTAATACGAGTGATTTCTTATATTTACGCGAACGCTACCCATTTGAATAATACCAGTTTTTACGGATTTTATCGCGTATATTTAACTATTTAAATTCCCGACGTTTCGAGCACTTTACAGCACCCATGATCACGGGGGAGTCTCCCTCGTAAAGTAAAATATACGCGATAAAATCCGTAAAAACTAGTATTATTTAAATAATACAAATATAAGATTAAAACTACTTTTACGGATTTTGTCGCGTTTATTTTTATTTTTTTATTTTTTTAATTCCCGACGTTTCGGGCGCTTTCCAGCACCCATGGTCACGGGGGACTGAGATGACTGACGTCCCGATGTCATTGTTAAACCCGGAGTACCTTCAGCTTTTTTAATTATTGTTTATGGTCCGATCTATGCAAAATGAACTGACTATGTCCTGAGGTCTTGCAGTGGTATGCTTGGGTTTAGTTTTAATTTTATTGATTATAGGATCCCAAGCAGGTGGTAGTACCCAGCCTCCTTCTCTATTGAAATTAGGATGTTTTTTAATTTCAATAGCCTCACGTATCATCCTTGGTAGGAATCGGTGTTCTTTCGCGAGGATTTGTGGTCTATCAAATCTGATGTAATGGTTGGTTATTTTTATGTCATCTGTCATCATCAAATGACATCGGGACGTCAGTCATCTCAGTCCCCCGTGACCATGGGTGCTGGAAAGCGCCCGAAACGTCGGGAATTAAAAAATAAAAATAAACGCGACAAAATCCGTAAAAGTAGTTTTAATCATGTGCAATGTTCGCGTAAATATAAGAAATCATTATGTTAACCAGTACGGACTGGAAATAGCAAATAAAATACGCCGATTAGAAGATCTGAAGACCAAGCGCGCAAGATACATAACAGCTTTAAATTTCTTGAAGAGATGCAGAGATCATAATCTCATTCCTACGTGTGTCAAGATATCCACTAAAAAAGACATTCGAGGAAGCGCCAAGATCTTAAATCAGGCTAGTAAAAAGTTGTTAATAACGGTGATTCAGCAAAAACGTACCGATCTATATTTCATAAACAAAACCATAAACAATTCGTCCAGTGAATTAAAGACAGTTTTATCGACATTTGATTATAAAAATTGCATGGAAACTTTAGATAAACGCGAAACAAATAAATACCATAAATTAACAACTAAATCAAATGTCCAACATACGAAATCGTTGACCACAGACACGAATCATAAACAACGCGCTGTCTACAACTTATTAAAACAAACACTGGACGACGCCACAATAAAAGTTTTAGAAAAAGGTATTAATTTCGCAATAACACCGCGAAAAATACCGTATGAGGACATTATCTGTAGTGTTGAGGACTGTCTGTATAAAAATAATATTGGTAATGAAGATTTAGAGGCCATACGTCAAGACATCTCGTCTATGTTACGTCGAAGTTCAACGCCGAAATTAAATCTCCCCAAAAATGAATTTAACGCGTTGAAAAACTTACGCAACAGACCAGAGCTTACGATTCTCCGCGCAGATAAAGGTAATTCTACGGTTATAATGGATACGTCAGATTACAATTTTAAAATACAAAAATTTTTTCGGATGAAACTACTTATCGAAAGGTCAAAACAGACCCTACAACTAATACGCTTAAAACAACTAGCGATCTAATTAAGAAATACTCCGAAAAATTGAATCTGGACGTTAATTCGATAATACCTTCCTGTGCCAAACCACCGAAGTTGTATGGGTTACCAAAGATACACAAACCGAATGCTCCATTACGTCCAATAGTGAGTCAGATTGATTCGCCAACTTACAGATTGGCTCAATACTTAGCTAAAATATTATCACCACTCAGAGGACACACAAGAGCACACACTAAGGATTCATACCATTTTGTTAGTGAGATAAAAGACCTACATCTTACTGACAATGAAACCATGGTCAGTTTTGATGTTCAGTCTCTATTTACATGCCTACCTGTTGAAGACTGCATCTCAAATATAACTAGGAAACTAGAGGAAAATAACATGCCAGCAGAATATGCAGTATTACTAAGACATTGCCTTACATCTGGCTATCTATTGTGGAAGGAAGAGTTTTACAAGCAAGTAGATGGTGTGGCGATGGGCTCACCTGTATCTCCCATTGTCGCCGATATATTCATGGAAGACTTTGAGGAGAAAGCCCTCCTTACTGCACCTGTTACACCAAGGATCTACAAGCGGTACGTAGACGATACTTTCACAATTTTACCATCAGACAAAGTAACTGCATTTTTAGAACATTTTAATTCCATAAACGCTAAAATTCAATTTACTATGGAGTTAGAGGCAAATAATTCCTTACCTTTCCTAGATGTGTTAGTCATCCGAAATCCTAATAACACCATTGGTCACACTGTGTATAGGAAAAAGACCCATACAAACCGATATTTAAACGGTGAATCTCACCACCATCCTTCACAGTTAGCTACCGTGGGCAAATCTTTGTTACAGAGAGCACGAGGGATCTGTGACAGCAAACACCTGGCCGCCGAGCTTCAGCACGTCAAGCAAGTTCTGCACGACAACAAGCTTCGGGTCCCGCGCCTACGTCACAGTGACCGAGTGAAGCCGGCCACAGTCGAGCGTGTGCCTGCTGTACTACCATATGTCAGAGGTGTCACAGACAAGATTGGCTATATCTTGAAGCGAGCTTCTATTAGAACATTCTACAAGCCGCCGAAGAAGATTAGTCAGTTCCTACCATCCGTCAAGTGTCATATTCCTCTACAAGATGCAGGAGTGTACAAGCTTGATTGTGAATGTGGTCTCTCTTATATAGGACAAACCAAAAGATCAATTAGGACCCGCGTAAAAGAACATATAGCTGATGTGAAGCATCAACGTTCCGGGAAGTCTGCAGTTTGTGATCATATCCTAGACGGCCCCAACCATTACATCAGATTTGATAGACCACAAATCCTCGCGAAAGAACACCGATTCCTACCAAGGATGATACGTGAGGCTATTGAAATTAAAAAACATCCTAATTTCAATAGAGAAGGAGGCTGGGTACTACCACCTGCTTGGGATCCTATAATCAATAAAATTAAAACTAAACCCAAGCATACCACTGCAAGACCTCAGGACATAGTCAGTTCATTTTGCATAGATCGGACCATAAACAATAATTAAAAAAGCTGAAGGTACTCCGGGTTTAACAATGACATCGGGACGTCAGTCATCTCAGTCCCCCGTGACCATGGGTGCTGGAAAGCGCCCGAAACGTCGGGAATTAAAAAATAAAAATAAACGCGACAAAATCCGTAAAAGTAGTTTTAATCATGTGCAATGTTCGCGTAAATATAAGAAATCATTAATACAAATATAATTTTTTTACCGTATCTAACGGGAATAGTGGAAAATTAAAAATTAAAATGTGAACATCACATATTTACAGTGGCAGAGCCACGCGACAG